GGATTTCACACAGCATGACCTCTCTCCTCCCTTCAGTGAAATATTTCCCTTTCTGCTACTTCACCTGTTCTTAATCACACACAGCAGGACAGGCAGATAGAAATGGTGAGTATCGTTAAATCTTGAAGACCTAGTCTTCATGATGCTAAGCTTTTGAATTCGCTTTCAGAAGACTCTCTAAGGACCCCAAAGCACCTACCAGACACGGAAATACGATCAAGTATATTAAGAAGTGCCCAGGTTTTCAATCAGCCTTCTTTTCCAAAGCAGATTCCAGCAAGACCTACCATTTTTATTCACCTGTAGAAACTAACTGTTCAACATAGAAAACAATGGGAAACAAACAAACAAAAGAACTACTCAGACCAAAACCCAGCAAGCTCCAAGCTATCTGAATTCCAGACTGCCAATCAGCAGCTTGAAGCTTTCATATCCCACCTAAATTCTGAGAAGATTTAAGAGAACACAAAGCCCAACCTGGGCCCAGGCTGTGACTGCCGCTACTGCGCTGTAATAGGCTCTGGTGCGGAGAGCCAGGCTGTACGGCAAACGTGGTTCTTTTTGTAGCGGCTAACAGTGAAAGAGCAGGTGTAGGCAGAAAAGGAGGTAAAAACCCTCATGGCAAGTGAAGGGATTGGATTCTGAGAAAATACAAAAATACTAAGTAGAAAATGATCCTGGCAATCCAGAGTGAGAAACTTGGTAAGAAAGAATCGCAAGAAACCAGGGGCAGGAATTTAGGAGTGATGGGACAAAACCGGAGCAGCATTTCAATAAATAAAGCTATAAAAAAGGTCAAAACCTTTAAAAGTTGCATCCACAGAGGTATCATTACAGAAAAGGAACATACCTGCTCGCTTAATGGCTCAGGTGAAACCACATTTGGAAAGCACTCATCCAGTCCTGGTCATTGTACGAAAACAAACAGCATATCACAACAATGAAAATGGGAACGTGGATTAGGAAACTGGCTTCTATGAAGAAAAAACAAACATTTAAAGATTTTGCTCTGGCAAGGACTGAAGGGGACGTAACTGAAAATGCATCAAGAAGCTGCCAGCGATGTGGCTGACACTGCTTAGGGCAGCATAAAACAAGTTCCTGGAACAGCAGTTGTAGATCAAGAATAAAACTTCACTTCATCGGACATTTCAAAGAGTACACAGGAGAATGATCTTGTTTTCCTGCACGGTGTGTTATTTCTATGGTTAAATTTTTTGATGAATTAATAGAATCAGTTTTCTTTCTTTTCTCCTATTTTCATTATTTAGGGTTACCTCATTGTTAAAAACTAGAAGATGTTTGCACGTTATTTTGACCACTGAAGAATGACACTGTCCCTTCAGAATTGTGCTGATGTAATTAAGGCTATATCACAGAGTTCTATGGAAACAGCCTGTAGGTCAGTTTTAGTATTTAAAAAAAAAAAAAGTGTCTTTAAGGAATTCTAAAGCTAAAAAATAGAGCTGGATATTTAAAATCTGATGAAAAGTTAGCCCTTATTCAGGAGAGCGTTTTTCTCCTTCAGAGACTGGTTCTCTTGTGCTTGTTTTCATTTCCTTGTCTGCACACAAGTGTAACTAAAGCAAGGGTGGCTTTGGTGCCACCCACTGGCTCATCTGGCTTGATCCCTGCAACACGTCACCAGCTTCAACTCTTACGGTGGTGAAACCCAAGCGGGCTCATGCATGTGCCACTGAAATCCACAGATTCACCGCAGCTTCCATTGGTAAATGAGATTACGGAATGAGGATCTTGGAATTTACGCACTGGAATCTGTGCCAAACACGCTCCTGTGAGCAGCCTGCCCAAACAGACAGAGCAGGGGCTGGACTGAACTCTTGCTCGTGTAAAAAAGGACAAAATAATGGCCATTTGACATTTTAAAACAGTTAGCCCTAGGAAAATTTTTATACTTTACAAATAAAAGGGCGTTTGTAGTACGAACTGTAAGAAGTTGCAAAATGTAAAAAAAGTAAAAAAAAAAAAAGTGACAGTGCTCAGTTTGGGTTAAAGCCCTTCTAGCCCAGTAGAGCTGTCCAGTCTGTAATGGAGGGCAAGTCTCAGCATAAATCAATATATTAACATGACAATCCCCAAGGCCCAACAGAGGGAAGGTATAAAGAAAGCCCTGGAACACTGCGGGGTGCACATAGAGGGTGTGTTGCTTGCGCTGCTGCACAGCAATCTTCACTGCCCTAGCGCAGGCTAATTCGAGCTGCAAGCTGGAAAGAAAACACGATGAGCTTTACATGGCTGTTTGCTGTCACCTTCCTCACCAGGCCACTAGCAAGAGGAACAGAGATCGTGCCGAAGGGCGTAGCCACATTTCTTTCACTTTGCTTTTTGTTTATCACAGTACCGTACAAGACTGCTTCTACTTTTCCCCCAGAAAGCCTCGTCTTGCTCCAGACAGAAGGCATGGTTAGACTTGATCCCCAAGACCTCGCGGCTGCGAGAAAAGTAGCATCGTGAACGTGATGAAGAGGACAGGAGGTTAGAAGATGGGGAGCCAGAACGACCGCTGCCCCGATTACGCTGCGCTGGTGCAGGGTCACAAGCAGGAAGCTCCCACATCCGTCTTAAGAAACGTTGAGATCAGCATTAGCATCTTGCCCTCCCAAAAACTGAGGTGTGTTTCTCACGACAGTGTCAAATTTGCTTTCCATGTAGATTTGCAGGCATGGACTAACAAGGTATAACTAAGATACAACTGGTTACTCTCCAGATTTCCTAACATGCCACTTCTTCTTCTAAGTGATACAGTCTTTAACTTCCACTTGAAGTTAAACTCATTGCATGAAAAGCGTCACTGCAATGCCTAGTCACTAAAACAAGACCACAAAAATGTTGAGCCACTTTGCCTCGACACAGCTCAACAGCCTATTCGTTTCCAGCAAAAGACTCAGAGGTAGACAAAATTTATTGAAACCAAAAAATGAAGTAAATTGCTACAGCAGCCAATTTTTGCCCATTTTAGCTTTGGTAGAATGGCTAATCTCATTTTCTCCTGGAACTCAGGAAATATATAGAAAGTCTTGGAACCGTTAAGTGCTTCTTCATGACACACTGCTAAAACACACAAGAAGCTAGGCACAAAAAAGTGGCTGAAAAGGCATAATAGCAATTACCGTAACACAATTTTCTCATGTTGTCCGAAGTAAAGTTTCACTCTGAAGAAAATATGAAATGTCATTGTAAAATTTCATTTCTTTCTGGCTCAATTTCAGCAAGATACATTAGCTTTAAAAATACAGGGGACTTAAATTTTCAGAGCTGACAGCTAGCAGGGACAAAAAGCTGAAAAAAAAAATCCAAGTCAAGCAGAGTCCTTTTTCATTTGTGCTTCACCACAAAACCAGGCTCTGCACCACAAATAAAGCTTGCCTGAACCCTGTGCAATCTCATTGCTGCCAGCAGGATAACACAGGTGCAGATGACCAACTGCATGACCAAAACTTAGTACATTTACTGACGTATAAACAGTAATTGAATTCCTTTTATGTATGGCTGTCCTCGGTTATTAACACTAAAGGCAGCAAATGTTAAAGGCTTCCTTCAGTCACTAAGCAACCACGCAGGAGAGGGAGAAATTCTGCGTAGTCAGGTTATGGATCTCCCCCTAGGTCAAACTACGCACTGACCACCGTACAACACCACCTGTGAGTTTTCAGTTTCTACATATGATGTTACATTGTCAGGAACATGAATAATTGCTTTACTATTTATTGTCTCATTTTATGGAAGACCAGAGATTCCCTAGTAATGCTTCTAAACAGAGAAAGGACTGAAATTAGAGATGGGGGAATTCAATCTTTAGGCACTTTGAAGACTACTACTTTAAAGTGTGCCATCAACGAGGAGCTATGGGTGCACCGCCTGAAAATGACCACTGCCAAAATGCTGTGACAGCAACACGCGTATGAAACTTTTTGCTTGTACAGGATCTGTTCAGTACGATTCAAAATTGTTTTGCCCGGAGGGAAAAAAACAAAACGAAAAAAACAGCAAAACAAAACCACTGCACCCCTTACTGTAGCTATCCTTTAAAAAGCAGCAGCTGCAATGAACAATACAGGCTATCCTTCCCCAAAGTCACAAAGATGCACAATATTCTCAATTTACTGCCTGAAAAACAACTGCCACTGCCATCAGTCTCAATCCAGGGCCAGGGACGTGTGTGACTGGAAGGAGCCACAGCTTTAAAGTGTCACAGGTTCGACATGTCTCTACAATCATTGCACTATTAAAAGCAAATACATTTGGCAAGGCTGAAGTAACACATTACATATTTTACCTATACAGTAAAAAATACATAGTAATCACCTCTGAGATAGCTTGTTTAATAAGTAGTGGTTCAAATAAACATGAACTATTTATTTCAACTTGAGTACTCAGGGTAGAATTTTTGAGTTAAAACCTCCAACAAGCATTCCCAAACACAAATGGGAACGCTTTATCCAAAATTTACTAAGTCCAGGTAAAATGGCATTACTAAAAAACTGGAAAAAATCCGCGTTAACTTGAGCACTAGGGAAAACATGGAAGCATAAAAGTGATCATCTCTACACAGCATATTCAAAAATCTTCCGTGTCTTTTCCTCATTATACTAAATGCATAAGAATGCACTTGCAACCGAATTTTCCTTCGTTCGTTTCAAAACTACAGATCTTTAATTTGATAAGCAGCTTTGTTTCTATCAACTCATTTGTAAAAAACACCATCAAGCTTGTGCTCATTAAATATATATATGTATATATAAAAACATACAAAAAGTACAAGATAAATCACATTAAGAAACTTTTACAGTGTAATTGTCCTGATTATTTTATTCTTAAGGGCCAAATTTTTTTTGTGCACAGAATCTCAATGTGACTGTTGTTCCAGAATTCAGCATAGTGCCACTGCACAGAATTCGCCTTTCTGTGCAGTCTATTAAAAAAAAAGAAAGAAACAAAAAAAAAAACCAAAAAACCAACACACACCACAGGACAAAACATTCTTCTTAAATCAAATTCTATTTGTGAATTCAGCAAAATAATTTCTATAAAATAAAACAGCAAAATATTTAAATAGTATAAGGGTGGGCTGTATCTGTTTTGCAGGGGTATTTGGTTTTTAGACATGTTCCAAAAAAATTACACACATTCAAGTTACCAATTTTCATTTAAATACAGTATTTACTGATGCGTTTCTCGAAGTCTTGAAACAAATGTTTATTCTGGAATAGAGATACCTCAGAATTGTATTTGACTAACCAGTAGTTTCTTTTATCATTAAACCCTGCTTCTACTGTTAAGATTTCCTGTATAATGGATAAAGAGCTAAGACAATTCTGCTTTCAAGTAGAACTGTGAACGAGCAGAAAACCAGCAAGTTAACTTGGTGCAGTGGCACTCACAAGTACTGTGTGATTTCATCGACTTCCGCTTCTCTGGGATGCAGTAGAAGGAAAGTGTTAGAAGTTTATCTAGTAAGCTCTACCAAAGAAACAAAACAAGCACACCAAATACAGTCTATTATGCTCCAGGCATCCTGGCATAGCAAATTTTTGCATATTTGTTTTAATTCTTTTAAATTCCTATTACTGAAAACTAAGTGTTCTTTATCCCACCCAGAGACAGAACTGTCAAACATCAGATGTGAGGAACATATGTGAAACTGAAAACCACTTGTTTGTCACATTTTCCCTCCCCATTTTATAGTCTAGGTGTAAGAAGAAAAAGTTCTGAGCGATGCAGTTGTCACATTGGGACAACTGCTGTCACCTTTTTTTGTTGGTTTTTTCTTTTTTTCTTCCCCCCCCCCCCATTGGCTACACTAACTTGGTGTGAAGCCATGCTAAATGTTACAGCATAACTATAGCTTCAAAGTGATTAACCTAATACCAGAATGAAAAAGGCAATGAAAAAAGATCTAGAAACAATGTTACATCACCAATTTTCCACATCAACCAAATAATTAAAAGGTTACCAGCCATTACGTTGCTCATAGTAAAATCGACTCCAGTGGCAAAGAATTAACATGAAACTATTTCTGTGGTTGACATGGATAGGCTTTTTCGTAAAGGAGTTGATCCGACTGCCATGAGGCAGGCAACACTGGTTGCAGAGCGCAGCAGATATATCAAGAAATTATTTTTTTGTTTTTGTAGATCTGTGAGTCTCATCAAGACAAAAAAAAATGTTTCTTGCTCAAGAATTAACAGTCAAACATTAATATACTATATACACCTTTGCCATTTACACATTAGCATCAGGCCATTTATTACAAAACACTATACACTTTCCACTGCAGGCGGGTTATATATTGACAGCAATTTTCTGCAGATAAGACAGTGAATAGACTCTCCACTCCATGTTGATTAGGAATAGTTTTTCTAGTTTTAAATATTAGCCAGACACAGAGAAAGGTTGGACTGTAAGGCCTGGGTGCACAGTCTTGATGGAGCAAGTTAATTGATTATGTGCATTTCACTAATCTTTTGTCTGAGGCGGGGAAACTTCTTCACTGCCTTCGTAATTTTCTTGTGCTCGTTGGCCAGTTCGCTGAGGGTTGTTCATGTGGTGTGCTGCCGGGCCTGTATATGGCTGTCCATGCACGTGGTTATTCTGTAAGAAAGCAGAAACATTTTACAGGGACTTTAAGTTTAGTGGCTGCTACCTGACAAGTTACGTGCGGCTGCCCGTAACACTCAGACTATTGAAGAGTATCCTCCAGCACACCTGAACTTCCCGTGCACCAACATCTGCATTAACACACATCACAGTTTCTTCGTTCCTCTGAACTGCACCTGCCACTTACCTTTTTACCATTTACACAGAAGGAAAACTTCCAACTTGTAAAGAAAAAAGCACTGGTTAAAATAGTAATCTCGGCTTTTGAGTAACAGTTACATGCAAAGCAAAAGCATCTAGGAAGAAAAAAAAGGAGACCAAAAAAGGCTGCCTACGTGGAGCACACACTGAAAGGTGCATGTATCTTAACAACAGATTGAATTGGCTTGGAAGTATTTCCTAAGACAATGGAAAAAGTATCTGCATTTATGCAGCATACTTTTAGTTTTTAAGAGGGAAAACATTACTGTTACAGAACTGAATGATATGTAGACCAGTAGTATTCTGCAGATGCTCACCCCCATTTAAAAAGACACACAGGCGTCTGGCAAATGAAAACCTCTCATCTATCTGGTGTTTTGCAGAGTTTAACCAACTGTGGAGAAACTAGGAATATGCAGATTGTGTGTGTTAGTGAGAAATGCCATCTCTTGCAAGAAAGTGAACGCATCACAAGGGTAACGGTGAGGTTACTGTATGTGTCTGAACTCAGGAGAAAGAGTGGGAAAATCTGCATGACTTACCAACTGCTCTGCTGAGAACACCAAGTAAGGAAAGCAAGATGGAGGGAAAATGGGTTTGGGCAGGAAAGGAAATTAAATTAGCAGATTTGGAATATATAAAATGAATTGGAACAAAAAATGGTGACTAAGTTGGGGATCTACTCATTTAATCAATTCCACAAAAAAAATGGTTATGATTTCTTTCAGATCTGGCTTTCTACTGAACGATATTAACAAAGCAGCCATTTAACATAAAAACAGATTTAGATTTTATATGTACTTAGACTTAGAGATCAGCGTTCGTAGCACAAGTTATATGTAACAAAGCCACCTGCATTCTTCTGAAAGCCTTCCAAATATCCAAACTGAAATTCAGGCTTTGAGGCTTTATTTTGTGTTTAAAACCAAGAAAGCAACTCATGTTATCAATGGCAACACACAGGACAGAATCAAATTCACCATGCACTAGATTGTGATGACGTTTGTTCCCTGGATCTTGCTATGGATGATTAATCCCTGATCTGACAACATTAAAATTTTCACCTGGAACTCTGATGGTGAAACTGTTCCCGGCAAAACGGAGGTTTATCTTTATTCCTCCACATGCGACACTTGACAATAACATGCTTCAGGCTAAATGCCTCCAATTTAAGTTACCACAAATGCTAAGGAAAAAAAAAAAAAGCTAACCTAGAACTCTGAATAAATGATTCAGCCCTGAGCTCTTACCTGCTGATACTGGGAACCAGGCGAATGGGGATACAGGGGGGCATCTTCAGGTGGAGAAGACTCATGTTCATCTGGTGCATCAGGATCATCTGGTTCCTAAATTTTGAAAGAACACGCGATTTACTTAGGTAAAATGTAACATCTATTCTATCCATCACCAATCCTACATGCAAGTGACTGCTTCTGACATGCTCTCAGAAAAATTCAACCCCACCATGTCACCCATCGCTTGTATCATACTACCTAAAAATTCCCATTATCAATGTACTACAGGTAAAACAGACCCACTCATAATCTACTTTAAAGGGTCAATTTTGATTTTATACTGCTAATTCTTTAAGTGACAGATGTCTACAGAAACAGTAATAAAGGTGGACAAACGTATAGGAGTATGTAACTGAAGCCAATCAATACAGAAATCTGTATTTATAAAATACTTATAAAATGCGTTACCTCTGCGATGACCAGAGACTGTTGCTAAGGTTAATTATTTTATAAAAGCACTTCCCTCAATTTTTTTTACCAGAAGTCAAGTTAGTTTCTTTACCTCCTCCGGGCAGAGTTCACAAGCTTTTGCAAGAGTCATTCTGGCACTGTGCGATCTCTCTAGGAAGTAGCCATTTGATGTCTCGTTGCTTTGTATTGGTGGAGACCAGTTATTGTAGGTGTACTGGGGATTGCCAGTGTACGGTCTACGCTCAAGCTCATCTCCCAGCCATTCCACTGCCCATGTCCATTTCCTCTTCAAATCCCCATTGCTCTGCAGATGGAAAAATAACAATTCGGAATTATTTTCTCCATTCTTCAAAACGAAGATATTTTTCCCTTTCTATACATCAGCTATCAGAGAACAAATCACCAACACGTATACTGCTGTTTCAAAGACTCCCTGAAATCATGTTTTTTGTAAAGAGAAAACTTCAAATTTGAAATTAAGCTTGCAGATACGCAGCTGCATCACAGCATCACATGGGCAATTTTAACCAAATTGCTCTCAATCCCAGACACTGATCTTCTGACATAGGAAGGTTCAAATAAGCTGCACTCAAAAGTTGTAATTTCATCAAGGTGGCAAAAACCGAGTAATTTTTTTATTATTTATTTTACATAGAACTGGAAAAAAAAGCAGCAAGTGGTAGAACAAAAGGTATCACCTGAAGGATCTGGTAGGCTACAGGACAGTTGCTGAAGAGAGCTACCATGCACTTTATACACTGGTAAGCTCTTTTCTGATAATGATTCTTAGAGCGCTGAATGGTGTCAAATAGTCCATCCCTGTCATCTGGGATTCCCTTAAGTGCGTTGTGAATCCTACAAAAAAAAACCAAAACAAAACCCACAAAACTTCAGGTGTGAAAGAGTTTTAATATTTGAATTAAAGTTTCATTACAGGGTAACTACGAAAGAGATAGCTGGTGTACTAACTTCTGGTTTTAGCAAAGAGTTGGTTTTTTAAATAAGAAAACTAAGTTGACACATCACATATATAACTTCTAGTTTTAGCATGTTTGGTTAATATAAGTCCTTATAGAACTGGAACTGTCAAATCCTCAACATAATGGTTACATATGTTCTATTTATGCTTCTCAAAGATACACTCATTCAGATGCAGTTCTTCTGAAGAGGAATGAATGGCGCATATCTGTGCATCAGAATAAGGGACTTGGGCATTCCCTGGAATTAAGTCCACTTTCTGCGCCTTCTGCTCTTAAACAAAGAGTAGAAGAATTAATTGTCACCCTGAAACTGTGCAGGAACCGAGAACTGAAACACTTTTGGCTTTGAAAAAAATGTCAGGAAGGCACAGAACCTACACTAATGTCTCAAAGAGCTACGCTCTCTGTAGGAAAAGCAACTGGCTCCTTTCCTTACAGCCCTGGCAACAGCGAGTGAATAGACTCTGGGTAGCCGGCAACCTACGCTTCAGCTGTACAGTGATACTGAGCTTCACCTCAGCTAATTTAACTTAATGGTACTTGTAACACAGTTATCCGAAACGTGGCACTTGATTTGACAAGTTCAACAGAAACTTATAAGAGTCTGCCTGATGCCAAAGAACAGCAGCAGCCACCTCACAGTACAAGAACGCAAGGAGCACTGAAGGATGCACACTGCCTAAGACCGGAGGACATTTGTTTTCCAAGACTTAGAAGACACTACATTTACTATGGACAGTCACACTATTTGGTTTGCGTTTTGGGTTTTTTTTAAAGAGATGAAAAAGATCATTACAATTTTATGATTATCATAGCAAAACGAAGAACAGGACTGAGATCAAGCTACTTGCAGAGGATGACTGCAGCTGGCCACTTCACACCCCTCTGCTGAAGCCTAACACAATTCCAACAAACAGGGCTACTCCCCAGACACCAACCCTGAATCCAAAGTCACGCACCTCTCCCACCGTAACGAAAGTCATACTACAACATGCAACCTCCTTCACAATTATTTCAAACGTGGTGCTATTCCAAGTAACCACTTCCATGATTTCCCACTTGTGTTTCCATCCTAAAAAATGCTCTTTTACTTTACATTAACTAAAGTGTGCCCAGACTCCAGCATTCTGAGGATTTAAAGACATCTAACAGAAGTATTTGTTTATCGGAAAGAAAGCCTAAACCATTTGCATTATATACAGATTACATTTACTTACATATGCAAAACCGAAAAGCCTGTATATAAAGGGTATCCTTGTCCCCTACCTAAGCTGCACTTCCTATAAAGAAATTGAAGAAATCCCTCCAACTCACTCTTCATGATTTGGAGAGTGGTAAGCCAGACCACCATCTTCTCTTAAAAGTATATTCTAATGTAAGGCCAGGCAACTGTTAAAATCCTAAGAGCACAGTCTACTTAGGATCAGAGAACATGTTGGGTTGAAAGGGACCTTTAAAGGTCATCTAGTCCAACCTCCCTGCAGTGAGCAGGGACATCTTTAACTGGATCAGGTTGCTCAAAGCCCCATCCAGCCTGACCTTGAATGTCTCCAGGGATGGAGCCTCCATCACCTCTCTGGGCAACCCGTGCCAGTTTCACCACCCTCAGAGTAAAGAACTTCCTCCTAATGCCTAATCTAAATCTACCCTGCTCTAGTTTAAGACCATTGCCCCCCATCCTGTCGCTACAAGTCCTTGTCAACAGTCCCTCCCCAGCTTTCCTGCAGGCCCCCTTCAGGTACTGGAAGGCCCCTGTAAGGTCTCCCTGGAGCTTTCTCTTCTCCAGGCTGGACAACCTCAACTCTCTCAGCCTGTCCTCTCAGGGGAGGGGCTCCAGTCCCCCGATCATTTTTGTGGTGCTCCTCTGGACCTGCTCCAACAGGTCCATGTCCTTCTTGTGTTGAGGGCTCCAGAGCTGGACACAGCACTGCAGGTGAGGTCTCTTTCAACCTGCTGGCCACGTTGCTTTTGATGCATTTTGAAACTTCTACAGGTTAAGTGCGTGAGTTCACCCCAATACCCACACTGCACACAGCAAGTCAGAGAGTCACAGAGGGTTAAGGGTTGGAAGGGACCTCTAGAGATCATCTAGTCCAACCCCCCTGCCAGAGCAGGATCCCCTAGGGCAGCCACACAGGAACACATCCAGGCGGGTTTCCAAAGTCTCCAGAGAAGGAGACTCCACAACCTCCCTGGGCAGCCTATGCCAGGGCTCTGTCACCCTCACAGTGAAAAAGTTTTTCCTAATATTTGTGCTCTTATTCCAAGGATATGAAGCATGGTTGCAAATTATTTAGTAAATCTGATACTACCTATATTCACTTATTATGAAACAGGGACATTCTGAAATCGTGACAGGTACTATGTTGATGACATTTACTTTGTGTTACCTCACCTACTACTACTTCTGTATAAAACTTCTGAAATATTGACTAATCTCTCAGATAGTCAGTTTTTGCAATAATTACATTTTTTGATATCCACTTTCAAAAGCCTTATTCTGTACATTTATAAAAATTAGGTTTGAAATTTATCCTAAAATATGATCACAGAGAGAATATTTAAGCATGAAATATGCTTTTCTCCCAAGCTGACACTTTATGCACCTTTCCGTATCACTACCAGGGCTGATGTGCTTCTTAGTAAGATCAGGCTACTATGAGACTTTGATTCTTGAAGGATGTATTTTCAACCTCACAACAAATTTCAACGAGTTTAGGCTAAGTGAAAGAACTTCTAGGCTAATGTGAAAGAACTTGGGTTCACAGGATGACTAAGGAGCAAATTTCTTAATAGTAAGGAAGGTCAAAGCAAAAAACATAGATTTACCTCAAAATATGAAGTAGAAGTGGAAAAAATGCTTTATTCTTGTACTTCTATTTAATATACACTTAAAAAAAACCTCTTGAAAGGATTAGCAACCAAACCACTAGGAAAACAAGCTGTACAAAATATAGTAATTTTGAATTATAAAAAGATTGGTAAATACTAACCTGTGAGTTTGCCAAGAGTCCTCAATTAATAGGATTTGCAGAAGCAGATCCAAATAAGGTCGAAGTTCGTATGTATATGAATACGCAACCTTAAAAATAAGAACGTAGACAACATAAGGAAGTATTACTTGAAACACGCAGATTATACGGCGTAGTTCAAGAACACAACTCGTTTGAAGTGAATTTTACTGTAATTTAACAGATATTTCAAGATACAATGCTAGCAAAATATTGATTGCATCAGGACTCAGAGTTGCTTTTGTTTGTTTATTGTTTTTAAACATAATAGGCTTTGTAAAGGACAAAATGTTTCCTTATGAGCTGCTAATAAAATTCATCTGAAGCCTCAAGCATGTGATGGTTTAGAAGCTACCTTAAAAAAATACCTTCAGAAAAGCGAAGTACAAAATGGTATTTTTCACTGATATTGCTACTTTTAGACGGTACATTCAAAGGTTATCTTCAAAAGTTTTCCGAAAATGTAAAACCCATGGCTAGCAAAACATCAGCAAAACGATGTTTTTATGATTCCTTCAAGTCCCAAAAGGATATAGAAAAATGTGACATTTATATGGGGGG